ACCTAACCTTATAAAGTTCAATGGTATTGATTCACCTCTGCTACAGCGAATCGTCATTTCGTACTGAAAGAGTTTCGAACTGGGATTGTCCTTCATGATTCATTACCCATATAAGGATAAATCATTTTCGTCAAGTATTCTTTACGAATATGTCCTGGTGGTATCCGTACTTAGGTTAAGGAATACAATGTTGTACCAATGAAATTATGTAAGTTTATATAAAATAATGATTACTGTTCATTGATGTTATTAAATACCATCACTTGTTGCAGAGAAAGACAGTTCTCGGTGTGGGCGTAATATGATTTGAGTGGTCATATTCCCTTCAGTTAAAAATGTAAGCAAAAATAATAAACATGTAGGGCTTACTGTACCTTGACCCAGTAAGATATGATAAGCCAATAATTTAATTACCAATGTCAATGCCAAAATGTTATGGGTTTTACAGAAATGAACCACATTTTGATTTGTTTTGCTTATATGCTGTCTAGTCTATGGATTTGTGCCAGGTAGATAATGTAGGTATAAAGCATCATGCTGTATTGTCGACCAATGTGATGCGCAGATGCTATATGTATTAACATGCTGAGATATACATGTACGATATAAATGATATTATGACATTCTTTAAACTCTAACCATACGATAAGGTATTATTTATTATTAAGATGACATTTAGTTCCATGTGTGATGGGGTTAAAGTTATTATATTTTATCTTATCATCATTATTTCATTACTAATGGTTTTGGCCGGGTTTGCATATTCTCGAAGCAATGGTGATGAGTACTATCATCTGATCAACCATTGTCACATTTTATATCGATTATGGGCGAGTGTTTTCATAGTTTTGCACGGTTAGTTACTTAGCCAACTCCTCATGATAGTCGCTTTGTATGTTTACTTTGTATTTCTATTAAACTTATAAAAATGACGTGATGGAGCTTTTCGAAAATGTACAGTTCATTAGATAAGAACTTATAAGTTGAAATCTCAAGGGGGCTGTACCAAGCCTTAATTAAATACGCAGGGTACATGGACCCAGTGTCTAGAGAAGGTATGTTTTCATAGTTACCCTGCCACGGTAAGATGCTTAATTGAAAACACCCTAGTACGTGCAACATTGGTTAACGAGATTATGGAGCTCCGGGTATATGGGTGGTTTGAGAGCTCGAATTTCCAGAAATCGAGTAAAACATAGTGATTTTGTATTGACATTATTATTTTTACATATGTTTTCATTCAAGTAGGGTATTAGTTTCGTAGAATTGTGGAATTAATCTTAAGGAATTAAACTGGTTGATTCCTGATACCACTTTATTAATCCACCTATAAACACAATATATGAATAGTTCATAGTTGTTTGTTCCATAAATACCAAGCATGAATACTTCATGGAGATACGGTATTAGTTTCATGAAAGCATGGTATGTTGCCCATAGTCAAAATTGGTTTGAGACTAAAGACATTTTGATTGTTATATTTAGTATTTTGGTGTCAATGAAAAATAATATTGGTTTTATTTTTTAAAATCATGCCATAAACGTAACAGATAGACTAACCTAACTAGACGGACATTTTGTATTAGTTTCTTTTTTGTTCATTGACAAACATAAAAATAGATGGTTTCTTCGACGTATGTAAATTCATTTGATCATGTCTGGATGATTTTATACATTAATTATACGGTAATATAGTGTGAGTGTGTTGTACTGGTTTATTAGAATGGTGCTGTTGTTTCCCGAAAATATTGTTGATTAATAAATTGTGTTTGTTTATCCAGTAATATTTGGTCTACAATGTATTTAAAAATAAATTTCACTGCATAAACCTTCATTTTTAAATGTTTTTAAAATAATGTCAATTATTTGTTTATTTATAGTCCATTGTTCGCTCGATCGCAACCTATACGATTAAATGGTGTTTAGAAATGCCATAGCGGAAAGCATTGTTCAATAGATTATAATGAACTACCAGAGTTTAACACTAACGTATTTAGTTTTAGGATTAGATTTCAAGTTTGTCTCACCTTCTTTCCCTTGGCCTCCAGATATTCTTAATAATCTGTAGAAGGCCATACAATTCTAGACTTGCTCTGCCAGTGCCAGTTCGCCATGTTACAAATAGTTTAAGGAAAACACACAGGTGCGGATCTAGGAATTTTGAAAAGGGGGGCGCTGCAAAATGAAAGCATTGACCGCGGAGACGGGGCACGCCGCTGAGGGGGGGGGGGGGTCCCCAAGAAAATTATCCGTCATTTCCTTGCATCTGTAGCCATTCCAAGAGCTATTTCCCAGACTGGTGTGTTTGGGTCAATGGTTTGAGTCATTTGGGATCCCTACAACGGGTTGGGAACGGACATATTTGAGTCTGAGAAAAGGCACTTTCAGCAGTAAAAAAGGGCACTGTCGAAAATTAGGGGGGGGGGGCGCCCCTCGCGCCCCCCATTGAATCCGCCTCTGACACACCAGTGTTGCTTGGGAATATATATAGTTAATGGTAGTTTTAAATGTGAACGAATAGATTTAGTGTTTATTGTTTGATTCACCGCGCTGTGGCTTTATCTATACAAGATAACAGATACACAAGGAGGCTAGCATCCACACAAACCCCACTTTATATTATACGATTAAAGAATATTGAGGTTTCTGAAAATAAACCTTGACCCCATTAATGCATTAATGTATGTAGCACCGTGCTACGTTCACCTGTTTTCTTTGTGCACCTGTATTAGTGGGTTTATCAACATGGCATACTTAAAAGTTGTGCCCCAGTATCACCATGAAGTTGAAGAAAGAGCGATATCTAACGTCACTCGTTTTAATAAGATCTAGGCGACATAATTAAACACATACTGCATTTCTTTCAATTCAAAGCAGCTGCAATAATGTTCTATGACATTTTTTGAATTGATATGGAACATGATAGGTCTATGTAGAATCTTTACTCATGTAAGTGATTCAGCCTTTGTGCAGAATATGGATGATAATATTCCATATATCGATGGAAAACATATGGTAGTGTTTCATATTCATTGGAAATGTTGAACTTTCGTAAAAAGTATACATCATCAACCGATTCTTCAGACATCTTTACAACGGACGCATAGTTGTTTTCGGATATGCTTTAAAAAATGTGTGTTTGTTATAGACTGGAAGCTCAGTGCGCGTGGTTGGTCCATCAAATGAGCATAAAACCATACCCAACTTTTCTAGAATAACATTTTGCGTAGAATACGATGCCCAGTGGTAATAAGTCCGCCGTTGGGGCGTTTTTGTGATATTAGGGGTCAAATGTCAAATGCGGTCATTTGCACTGAAAATGAATGCGCAGCCATTCTTGTATCATGGAAACATGCTGAAAATGATCGAAAGTAATGACTCTTTCAATAAAAATGTAAACTTGCTAAATTCACCTTTGTTCTTTGGGACCCCGTAGGTCGAAAGGTCAAATTTTCCGTTTTTGCACTAGGAAGATCTAAAGCAATAAAATGGCAGCGTAAAATATAAGAACTAAAGCGAAACCGGTTTTAATTAATAATAGGAACATTTAAAACTTATCTTAAGGTGGTCTTAGCACCGTACATTTACCTTGGAACGTCGAAAAAGATCTTGCATAACAGAACCAAAACCTGTTTCAAAAATACGTAAAAACTGTCAGATCGAAATCTCCCCGATTTAGTTTAACAACGATTGTTATACATAATGAAACTAGTTGTAAGAAAACCAATTGAATAGTTTCATGGTTGGACTCCAACTTGCAGGCCGCGTGGATTTCAAGGAATCCCAATCTGGGAAAACCGACGTTAATCTGTGACCGGAAAACACGTATTTGACGACGTGATTAAAAATTTGCAAATTTTTTACGAGTTTTCATGAATTTCGCCGGAACATGGACCGACGGATGTATTGTACATATAATAGCTCACGGGATATAGATGCCGTATTGGTACGCAATCGTAGTGGTGTTCCGGGTACCCCAAATACCTATATAATACCCAGGTCAGTATTTCAAATATATATAACACACCCATGAAAGTGTTCAAATATATATAAAACACCCATGAACGTGTTTTGAATATTTATAAAATTCTAATGTCAGTGGTTCGGATACTTGCAGAATATCCATCTTGATGTTTTAGATATCTATAATAGTAAGTGCAGGGGGACTGCACCACACAAAATTTACACAAAAACAAATACACAGACAGGACATCATAGTCAGGAAAAACACAAACATACAGACAATTCCAAAAAAAAGACAATGAAAATGTTTCACATACAGAGATATTAATAAAAGATCCATAAAAATGTTTCAGATCCAAACAAAGATATCTAAAAAACACGCATGGAAATGTTTCAGATACAAACAAAATACCTATGAAAATGTTTCAGATACCGTAATACATCCATGGTTGGTTTTGGATACATATATAATACATTTATAGTGGCATTTCGGACACGAAAATCACCGATGCTGTTTGAGAAACCTATAATACTCCGATGGCGGTATACAGGTCACAATTCTATGGAATACAATTAGTGCTTATTACTGAACGACGTTTCGACAAGATAAAGTTTAAACATCCCATAAATCAGGTATGGCGTTTCAGATATCCGTTGTGGTGTTCCATATACATGTAAAACATACATGTAGGTGTTCTAAGTATCTCAAGATCATCCATGGTATACTCAATGAACATTTATGGTGGTGTTTTTTATACCAAATGAACATCCATGGTGGTTAAAATATTTATAGTGCATTTAACATTTAACAAAAATCCACTGTTCCGTTGTTCCATTGAAGGTCTTGAATATTTTTGTTAGTGTTTCAGATACCGTTTAAAATTTCATGGTAGTGTTTGAGATAACAGTTAAAACATCGATGATATTGTTAGAAAGAATGACCATAGAGGTGATATTGCGGTGCTGTTTTTGAGCAACCAAACTGTTTGTAGAAAATACAATGAAGGTATTAATAAATATAATCTATGTATTTTCAGGTAAAGCCTAATGGTATTGCATACAAAGCAGGTGTTAGACCAGGTGATGCTATTTTACAAATCTGTAGATGTCCAGCTCAGTATCTCAGCCATCAAAACGCTAAGATGGAAATTATTAGAAGTGGTAATGAACTTGATCTAGTCCTTCAAAGGTTTGTAATTTGAATCATTATCATATCTGTTGCAATTAGGTTTTCACTGTGACGTCATCTTTTATGGCAAGCCAATCTCTTAAAAATTGTCTCCCCTTTTAAACACCATTCTCCGACCACCAAATCCGCGTATGAGAGAGAGAGAGAGAGAGAGAGAGAGAGGGTAGGTAACGTCCACTCGACACACAAACTAGGTCATTTCTAGACCAATATAATATGGTGGGGGTCTTTAGAAGTGAGAGGAAGCCGGCGGTGTGAAAACCCACGTGGTTGTGAGATCGATACCACATCCCATGGCTCAATAACAGATATTATGATCTAAATCGCACGCGTTAGAAGGTGTTGTACTGGTAAAGCGTATTTTAGCTAAACAATATGTTTTGAAAACAAAGTTGAGACAATGAGTTTTAGGCCTATCTGTGAATCATGTTCTCTATCCATGCGGTACTTTGATATACCTTCGTGTAAACTAAGGTTTCTTCTTTATACATGTATATATATATACCTGTGTGTGTGTGGGTGTGTGTGTATTTGTAATAAGCTATATTCTTATTTATTTCTATATATAGAAATGTTGTTACACAAGGCGTAGTAAGCCTTCAAGAAGCGCGAAGTTCTGTAGAAGAAGAACCTTCTCCTTTCCGTGGATACCAAAATCCCACACTTCAATCACGATCATTCAAAATCATCCAAAAATGTCTGAACTACGAAGATAGTAAGTATATAATAGTTTATCAAGGTTTTCCATTAATTTAGCTTTGTTACAGAATAGTTCGTGCCGGATAATCCATATTTAAAATCATGACATTGGCCTACTTAGATCCAGAGAATTTGCTGAACTCCTTGAAAAGCAACTCTCGAGTATGGTGGGTTATTTCTAAACTTCTGACTGTTCCCCAAACGATTCTTACAAGTATCCGAAACACCAGAGGCGTGCAGGGCAGACGGGGTGGGTAGTTCTTAATTGCAAAAACAAAAGAAACTGGAAATTGTTGATAACGCTAGAATCCGATAAGATTTTCCACCGGGGGAACAGGATTGTATGAGGCTATATGCCCTTCCTTCCGAAAAAGTGCACTAATTTCGGAAAAGGTGCACTCATTTTTGATATAGTGTCCTCGAATTTCGAAAGAGTTACCTCAAATCACCATAGTATGCCCGCGTCAATGTCAACAAATTCCCATTGCTCCAATACCAACACTGTGTCCAAGACATGTGATACAAACACATTATGTAAGATTGAGACAAAGAGCTGACCATTCCTGCTATAATAGCACAAAAATAGATAACGTAAAATGAAAATTTTGAAAATTTCATTCAAATTACTTCATTTTGAGCCAAGCTATATCTATTCGTAGTTTTGACAAGATGTGTGCATTATGGTAACCAGGGCACTGGTATATTCGAGACTTAGCCTCGCTTTCCCATTTTTAAATTAAATTTTTATTTGGCGAACCGTTCTAATAGGGTTGGGACAAAAAGTATTTATTCATTAAATCTCCCAAACGCATTACATTTTATGAGGCGAAATGGGCCAAATTTCATGAATTTGGTTGGGACAGTTGTGAAAATGGAGTTTTTGGGTTGGGGCAGCGGCCATTTTCAAAATGGCGGTAAAAATTATTGTTTGCCGTTATTTTCCCTATAACTTCCGATTATCAAGAACATAAGAACGAAAATAGGCGTGTAATTTGTCTTTTTATTCATTTTCCTGGGTGCTGAGTTGGAAAAAGTCATGTTTCGGCAAATTCCAATAAACGGCCGCCATCTTGGATCCAATATGGCGGCAAAAATGGCGTCGAAAATGGCAAATTTGGCACTTTGTTCTTCATTGTTCCTTTTCCATGACGGATAATATGTCTTTTTATAGGTTTTGAGAGGTGGCAATTTCAAAAATAAAGTTTTCACGAATTCCGATATTTATCCACCATCTTGGATCCAATATGGCGGCCAAAATGTCTAACTAAACATTTATTCTCAATTATTCGGTTTTCATGCCATTAATTTGTTTTTTGTAGGTTTTGGTGGTTGAAAATTGCTATAAACGCGGCTAGAGTCAAACAAAGACTCCAGAAACGTTCTAAAAATCTATAGAAAGTATTTTAATACATTTCTGGAGTTTATGTTTGACTCTAGCCTCGTTTATGGCGATTTTCAGATTCCTGGGGACGAGGTTTCTGAGAACTTCAAGTGGCTATAACTTTTGAACGGTTGGCCCTAGAGATGTTTTGAAAATTTTTTTTTTAGTAAATCGACCCCGTAGATATCGAGAATGGACACTAATTGGCAAACAATTATGAAATAAATATTTTTAAATTGCTTAAAACATCCACAAAGATGTACAAAGTACGACATTGATCACGATAATCAATAGGCCTACAATCCAGTTCAATATTTATGATACATGATAATTTCAATTTTGGTTTTGTTGCAAATGGCGTAATAGATCACTGTTACATTTGGGTCACTATTCTATTCAGTGGCGTCCAAGATCAAAGATGTGCAAAGTATTCCACTAACGTTGAGCATGATAATCAATAGGCCTACAATCCTATTGATTATCATAACGTTGTATATAGTGAAATACTTTGCACATCTTTGATCTAAGACGCCATTGAATAGAATAGTGAACCAAATGTAATAGTGATCTATTACGCCATCTGCAGCAAAACCAACATTGTTATTTTCAATTTTGATATTTTCAAGACGATAATTTCAATTTTGGTTTTGCGTGCTGATGGCGTAATAGATCACTATTACATTTGGGTCACTATTCTATTCAATGGCGTCTTAGATCTTTGTGGATGTTTTAAGCAATTTAAAAATATTTATTTTATAATTGTTTGCTATAGTATTTGTATTATTATTCAATACTGTCCTGTCGTCACTTCTTGATTGATCTTCTGCAATTTTGAAATGATAATAAAGATGTGATAATATTTTTAATGAAAATTTACGCAAGATTGTTTTCATTTCCTAGGACTTTTGCCGCTATATTGGAACCAAGTTTGCAGCCTAGGGTGACAACGAAAACATAAATTTTGTTTGATATATGTTGGTATATGTGGAGATTAGGTGCACTGACTATGCCCACCAATTTTGAACAAAATCGTATGTTTCTCTAAGGGTGGCAGCCATTTTGGGCTTTTTCCTTTACAAAAATGAAGGCCTAGCAGGAAATTGTACTTCCCGATTTCGGAATGCCAATTAGTGTCCATTCTCGATATCTACGGGTCGATTTACTAAATTATTTTTTTTTCAAAACATCTCTAGGGCCAACCGTTCAAAAGTTATAGCCAATTGAAGTTCTCAGCAACCTCGTCCCCAGGAATCTGAAAATTGCTATAAACGAGGCTAGAGTCAAACAGAAACTCCAGAAACGTTCTAAAATACTTTCTATAGATTTTTAGAACGTTTCTGGAGTCTTTGTTTGACTCTAGCCTTGATTATAGCAATTTTCAACCACCAAAACCTACAAAAAAACAAATTAATGGCATGAAAACCGAATAATTGAGAAAACATGTTTAGTTAGACATTTTGGTCGGCATATTGGATTCAAGATGGCGGACAAATATCGGAATTTGTGAAAACTTTGATTTTTGAAAATCGCCACCTCTCAAAACCTATAAAAAGACATATTATCCGTCATGGAAAAGGAATAATGAAGAACAAAGTGCCAAATTTGCCATTTACAGCGCCATTTTAGCCGCCATATTGGATCCGAGATAGCGGCCACTTATCTTATTGTAACGGACATACTTTTTGTGCTGACAGCACACCCGAAATCCTATAAAAAAAACTTATTTCATGGCATGAAATACGGTTAAATGAGAAAAAGGGGTAAAATTAGACATTTGACACGCCTATCTTCGCAAGTTATATTGATAATAACTGAAAAAATAGCTTTTTGCAGCCATTTTGGCCGCCATTTTGAAAATGGCCGCTGCCCCAACCCAAAAACTCAATTTTCACCACTATTTCGACTAAAATCATAAAATGTGGTCTATTTCGCCTCAAAAAATGAAATGTGTTTGTAGCCGATGTCGATTGTCCCAACCCTAGTTCTAATCTAGTTAAAATCTCGAGTATTCGATGTCATCGAGAGTTGATTATGGTCTTGTTTTGTTAATAAATGTCTAATTAATAGTTTATATAACATTTCAGGCCTAAAAGAAAGACCTGCAATAGGCAGATTTAACTCTTGTATTATGTATAGGAATAGATACGTTTACAGCCTTTGAAAGCGTTTGTTTAGTTGAAAAACTCACTGAAAACCACTGAGTTCATTGCTGTGACCAAATTCTTGTGAATAAGAGAGGATCAGAAATGGTTCAGAATCTCGAGATCTGCCTGTTTTGTGAGAGTTGACAATAAACAGTCGTTCGCCCCACGATCCACGCACTAGTGGTACTATACTTACTGGATGGTTCACTATAACCCAGAATATGATAGTTATGAGATCGTATACGAGGAGTGGAAGAATAATGCCATAATGGAATATTTCAAATAGCGACGTATAATATACTCAAAGTCATTAAAAAACGCAATGTCTAATTCGTGAAATATTTCTGGTAAACGTTTTCTTGGGCTTTCCTATCTTATGGCACATAGGTGAAACTTGTGATGGGTCTCTTTTTGTGGAGTTCTGGGTTTGAACCCAATATCAGTTCTCGGTAATGAACTTTGTTCGTTGCAAACGCTTCCACACCACTGGAAGAGTTGCCGATCGACCCCGACCTGGAGCGTCACCCGTAACAACCGCTACTCAAGATCGCCACATCTGCGCAACAGGTTCCAGTCAGCTACTGCTACTGCCAGGGGAACTGTTGGAACTCGGCAACGTCAGATCAACCCTCAAACAGTCCGAAGGCGTCTGGCTGCTATTGGGTAACGCTGCCGTCGCCCTTACCAAGGTCAAATCCTTTTTCATCGTCATCGACTTGCCAGACAGCAATGGGCCGCAAATCAGGGGTATCTGCACAACACACCATGGCGAAATGTCATCTTCTCGGATGAATCCCGATTCAACCTCAATTTTCCTGATGGATGTCACCGTATCCACCGACGTCAACATGAACGCTTTGCTCGTAACTGCGTGCTGGAAAGGGAGGTAGCGTCTTGGTTTGGGCCGCTATTAACGTCAACTTCCGGTCCCAGTTGGTGGTGGTCCAAGGAAATCGCAACCCCCAACATTATGTTGACGCCATGTTATCGAACGCCATAGGCGCGAACATATTTTAAAAAGCGACGTATAAAATGTAACTGCACCCCTCCCCCTCGTTACGCCACTGCTTACGCGGGCTTGGTCTCACGTGGGGGCTAATTAGATGTCATGAGGGCGGGGAAGTGGGGGGGGGGCGAATGCACCCCACCCCACCCCCACCTCCGCTACCCCTCTAATCCGCGCCTGATTGTTGCTAACTATGTTCAGATATTTAGGAATTAATCATAATCCCTCAACGACGTGACATCGTATATCATGGCTCAGATATACGTCAATGGATTCTAGCATGTGCCACGTAACCAAACATTTGCCGGCACTGCCCCCCGCCCCCGAAAGTATCCTAAGTTGGATCTGCCTACCCTCCTTCGGGGGCCCCTGCACGCCTCTTGACCATCACTCTATATCTGTAACACCATTTAAAGATACATGAAACACCACCATATATATCTGAAACACCGCCACAGATTTATATCCGGATTTCGCTGTCTGAGATTTATATGCTTGAAACATCATAAAACATATTAAATTAGAACAGATTCAAATATATCTAATAGAACAACCGGCGATGTTTATATGTATCTGAATGGCACCATCCTTTTTAAACAGAGATGCTGGTAGACTTTGTTGCGAGTTAACCTGTATTCTAATTTTGTCTGACTCTTATCTATTTTCAGGTTATGAAGACTAGGAATAAGAAGTTTAAAATATTGCTATGAATCCCATTGGTGACTAAAATGGAAAAAAAAAAATAAACTGGACAAAAGATACATTTTATACTATTTATGTGTTGTTGTCTAATTTGTACATTTTCAAGTCAAAGTTTTTATGTAAACCTTATCGTTTGTTAGTACATGTATATTTTTATTACAACCTATAGATAATTTAGTACCGTAAATTGGGTTTAATATTACATTTATTGGGTTGATTAATTTCATGTGTTTACAAATTTATCAAGTATGGAAGACTTGCCTTGCCTTGCGGTATAACACTGCCAGTCATTCCCTAGCGGAGCAAAGGGGGTCAAAAATAACCAAACCCTTGCGCTATCAACTATAGATTATTTCATTTTTGTTCATTTTAGATTTACAGTATACTGCTTTTCTTGAATTTGAAGGAATTTAAGTGGCATACGAAATGAATGTAGATAAAATTAACTGTAGTTTAGAAATTTGGAAATAAATGATTGGAATTTGAAGAAAAAATCATTTGTAAGGCCACTGGAATAAATGTAATTTAACCAATCTGATTAAAAATACAGATCTATATTTCGTTTCGTTTTTTTTATACTTTCGATAAAACACTACATGAAGATCTGACAAGTTATACTGGAAGGTCGTGTCAGGGGTCGTACCAGCGGTTTTTGACCGTATGACGTCAGACATTGATTAATCAATCAGCGTTGACGTTTCTAGTGGTTTACCCACAGTTCCGTGCATGGCACGCCAAGAAGTCACCGTAGCAGACCGTTTCATTGGCTAATCCCTCATTTCAACAAAAACGCCGGTAATATAACAACTCCTCCAGATCCTAGTGTAGTAAAGACAAGTAAAACGAAAATTTGAACTATAAATAAAACGAAACGAAATAGGATCTGTCTTTTAATCAGACTGGTAATTTAACTTATCAGTACAATAACAGAAATTTATGTTTTGTTTCTATTTTATTTTTTAAAATAAATCAAATTAATTATCTTTAATAGAAGTATCAGAATGTTGTATATTCTATGGTTTTTGTATAATATTACAGTTTGAATTTGTATAACAATGAATTTCTATGTTCCTTTTGTATATTATGGAAAAATTAAAGTTACTACCAAAATACCAAATATGTTTATATAAACAATTTTAATATTAAACATCGCTTGCGTTTTATTCATTCTGCTTTGTGGGGAAGAAAACGCGAAAGCATTAAAGTAACAATCAACGCCTAAAAAACGGCTAAAGGCTCGAAAGTTTCAAGAGGGATTTGTTTTGAATACACTGGGGGTCGATTGAACTGGATAAGAGATTATAATAATATTATAATATTCGACCCTGCCAATATTCCACACTGCCATTATTGAATCTCACCGTGTGCTGTGAGAATCCAATAAAAGATATTCTCGACATATTTTCCTATTGTTGAATACCCACAGCGACTTGGGATAATTCAATAGAAGAAGTACTTTGCTCACTACACTTTATTTCTATCCGGATTATCGCCCTTATGATAGTTAAACAGGCAACATATTACTAATGATTTCCCCATTGACTATAATGTTAATTCTCGTCTTTTAGACCGGCTCTAACTTATTCCAAAATTTTCGTTGGGCAGAACGCTTTCTACCACAGATGGAGCAACATGTGGCAACCGCTTGCTCAAAAGCACGTATGGAGTTCATCATGGAAAACTTGAGATACACAAACTGGAAGTAAAGACTAAAAAACTTGCAATTTTCGGCCCTACATTTCAACCTAACCAACCTCTCAATTCTAGTATCCTTCGGCCTCAAAACCATGAATAAGCCTATTCACCAAAATCTGGCAGAAAATGTATTTTCAAACCCTTTTCTTCGATTCTACACCAAAACGTCAAAAAAAAATCGCCATGGAAAAGAGAAAAGGGAGAGAAAGACTTAAAAATAGCTTTGGCCCTTGTTTCATGACGGCGTAGGAATATTTGGTGAGCTGTGTCCAAATGTTTTAACGTTCCCACTCATGACGTAAGCTGACACATGTAAAGCCCTGACCATTGACCATTCAATATGGTGGCGACCATGGCAGTTGTTCCGCCGGCCATACTTTCTTCTATTTACTCATGTATTTTAATAACTGGTTAATTTTCCATACTGCGATATGAAAGCAAGCTCAAAGTGGGTTACCAATGGGATTAGTCAATATCAGAATATTTTTCATGTCACCAAAGATCATTTCACACAGTTTTTTTTGTCTTGGGCCTATATATAATACGAATAAAAAAAACCTAATCTGTCAAATTCAACAACAAAACACGAAAAACAAGCAATTGCCATGCAAGATACGCCTACATTTTGCAAGAGATGGACAGAGAACGAGTTAAAAAAATAATGTGATTTGATTTTTGTACAATCAGGGGCCATAATCCAGGAAGATATGGTCCGATATACGCGAATATCGAAAGGAATCGAGATCTTTGGGTTATGAACATACATTTCAAGTTTCATCAAAATCGGATAAATCTTGTGCTCTCGAGAGAGTCCACAACCTTCGTATTACATACTTTTACACAATTCGCGTACAAAGAGTGGGCATTTTGTTGGGCAGTTTCATTTCAATTTTCCCGAAATTCGAATTCAACCTTCGTTATGGTGCAATGGTGATATATTTAAACGGTTTTTAAAATCGGAAAAAAAATTGTTACCTCTAGAGAATCCGCAAGCTAAATCAGGGGCCATAAACCAGTAAGTTACATTCGGATATGCGCGATTATCAAAAGGAACCAAGATCTTAGAGTGTAACGGTGATATATTCACACGTTTTTTTTTTTAAATCGGATAAAAATTGTGACCTCTAACTTTTGTAAAGCGCCACAGAGCAGTCAGACTGACTGAATGTTCAGCGCTATAGAAACCGATTATTATTATTATTACAATCAAGGGTCATAATTCAGGAAGTTACAAACCGATATGAGCAAATATCGAAAGGAACCAAGATCTGTGGGTTTTAAACATGTATTTCAAGTTTCATCAAACTCGGATCAAAATTGTGACCTATAGCGGGCCCACAACCTTGATATACCAGATGTTTACACTATTTGCGAAGAGGGGCGTCATTTTATCTAGCAGTTTTGGTCCGATTTTCATGAAATTCAAACTCAACCAACAATACGGTGTAACGGTGATATATTCGAAAGGTTTTTTTTAAATCAGATAATAATTGTGACCTCTAGAGGGACCACAAGCTAAATGCGCGATTTTTCGTACAATCAGGAGCCAAAATTCAGGAAGTTACGATCCGATATGCGTGAATATCGAAAGGAACCAAGATCTTTGGATTATAAACATGCATTGCAAGTTTCATCAAAATCAGATGAAAATTGTGACCTCTAAAGTGTCCACAAGCTAAAACGTGATTTTTCGTACAATCAGGGGCCTTAATCCTTGAAGTTGAAATTCGATGGAGAAATGACAATGTTCTTAGAAATTTCCGTCATAGCACTCTGCATAGCGTATGCCTATCTTCAATATAGTCCAATTGGCGCAGAAATTGGCTGAAAGTGTCAAATCGATTCTTGGAAATGCGGGGAAATTGAAAAGATGTTGCGCATTTGATCGCTCTCAATTGGCTCAACGTGTCCAATTAATTCTTGGAAAAATGGTTACATACCGTTGTCAGTGTGGGTGCGTTGTATACATACCATTGTGATTCCCCGGTTGTACGTGACAAGGAGTAGGGTCGCCTGTCTAACCTCCTGGGTTTTCTTCGGGTCCTCCGGTTTGTTCCCACTGCTAAAGAAAGCTAGGCGTTGAGTTTGTTTTGCCAAATTTACAGACAAAATATTAACAAAAAAGTGGGTGTGACACTCCCCCAGAGGGTCGGGGCATGCACCAAAATAAATAGTTGCTGTCTTTACGGTATAAGGAATAAATATGTAAAGTTCCAAGATGATCCATTCAGAATTGCAGCCTGTAAACAATAAATACCAAAATTGGGATGTGGCTCTGCCCCTGGGGGTTGGATATGGAACAATATAAATATTGAAATGATTGATACGCTGAATTTGAACAAAATATGTTAATTATTGCAACCTGTAGAGTATTTATAGATAAAAACTAACAAAAAAGTGGTTGTGGTACCACAGCCCTGGGGGTCGGGACATGCACCAAAATAAATAGTTCCTATCCTTACAGCATACGGAATAAATATGCCAAGTTCTAAGATGATCCATTTAGAATTCCAACCTGTAAACAAAAAACACAAACATTGGGCGTGGCTCTGCCCCTGGGGGTTTGACATTGACCAATATATATATAGGTACAACCCTATACTGGATCATTCCGAATTAGATCCAAATCTGTTAATAATTGCAACCTGTATATCATTTACAGACAAAATATCAACAAACAGTCAGTGTGGCACCGCCGAAAGGGCAGGCGGTGAAGGAGGGGGGTCATAGGGTATAAGGAATAAGTATACCAAGTTCCAAAATAATCCATTCAGAATTGTAGCCTTCGAGCGCTAAAGGCAAAAATTGGGCGTGACCTATTCACCAAAATCAATAGTTGACGTCCTTAGGCTATAATGAATACATATGCCAAGTGCCAAGTTGATCCATTCAGAATTGCGGCCTGTAAACGATAAACACAAAAATTGGGCGTGGCTCTGCCCTTGTGGGTCGGGACATGCAGTTGTCGTCCTTAGGCTATAAGGAATAAATATCCCAAGTTCAAAGACGATACATTAAGAATTGTGGCCTGTAGGCAACACACAGAGACACAAAGAAAAATGGGTGTTGTTCTGCCCCTGGGGCTTGAGCAATCACCAAAAAACAATAGGGGGCATCCTTAGGGTATGTGGGGTTTCGTATTTTATAGATCATTACAATAGCTAGAACTTACTGTTTATTATTTGTTACACGCCTAGTTATCTATTCATGTTGCTTCATTTTACGTTGAACTCGTAATGGGGTTTGTTTACATGTGGAAATTGCGTAAATAGCCGCCATTTTGTGAATATGCTGGCGACTTGTGGTTTGGAACTTTCTATTGGTCAATATGTGATAAAATCAACCAATTG